CTCACTTCGAAAATGATAGAAGCCTGCAGAATTCCTAGTGAAAATGCACACGGAGATACAAATGGATGCAGGAACCGACTCGAACCGACATAAAGCAGCTTGTGATAAAAACGAAAAATATGCCTTCTGCCCAGCCTGCAAGGCCCATGAGGCCAAGTGCTTTCAGTGCATTCAAGCGGGACCGTGGATCGGCCAACCTCAGGCTAGTAGGCAGCAGGCCTCTGTGATGTGCATGCAGTGGTACATGAAGTCATGAGTGTACCTGCGTTGTTTTGATCGGATGAGACATTTGCTAGGATCACACATACTGCCGCCAGCCCAGCCCATTCAGTGAAAAATGAGAAAGTGTCAGCATATGTGGATGGGTGCATCCCGTGCATCTTGCAAGTTAGGGCAAATACCAATGTTGCAATTCCACAACCTAGATGTCACCACTGTTGAAACAATGTCAAACCTTGACGGAGGGGTCAAGCACGACAGGTCTAACATGGCCTGACACGAAAGTACGGTCAAGCAATTCCATCTACAGTAAGATGGAGTAAGATGTTCAGTTTGGATCTTGATGATCCCTTTTGCCTTGCCAAGATCAACAAGGATGTACCCATGCAAGAGAAAGGCTGGGTCTGGAACTTTTACGATGAACCTTCAAAGGTCTGGAATTAAAGTACTGAAGCGCAAAACCGCAAACATGCATTGCCTCTGGAACACGCATCAGCCAAATACAAACAGCTTTGAAGAAAGTTTGGTAATTTGTAGAAGTCCATCATAGTCTAAGACTTGTTCAGGGTGCATACCTATCGACAAGAAACTGCCGATTGCAACCCCTTTGATAGCAGTGGTAGAAAATGCACTGCATCCTCTCCCAACTTCATCCGCAACTACTGGACTGCCGTACCAAATCCAGATTGTGCAATCATTTCTCCAAGCCTATATATCCGGAGTGGCGAGCCCACGAAACACAATCGCTGTGGGCACGCTCCAGGGCTGGGGAAGTTTGGGGGCGGAGTTCTGTGCGATTTGGCTTGTGTTCTATAGAGCAAAAGAAATGATCTGATATTACTAAATTACAGTAATGTCTGTACTCTGTAAGTAGGATGCTACAAAACAATATTAGGACACAAATGGACAGTCGCATAACTAACAAATGTGGATGAACACCAAAATTCCACATCTTTTCCAAGTGTGCTGACTTTTGAGATCTTGTTCGAACACATTTGGAAGTATTTTTCCCAGTTATGCAGATTGCAACTGCGCCACTTGTGAAATCCGGCTCCTCATAAGCTCCCGTTGAGCATCGTTGAGCAAGCTCTACCACAGCTGAAAATGCGAGGGTTGCGTGATGCTGGCTGGAACACACACAAATCGTTGACGACGACGGCCAAAGAAAGAGAGAGAGAGATTGCAGGCAAGTAGGCAAGCAATCAAGCGGAAACGAAAGCCTAGAAAAGGGCATCCGGCTGTCCGGCAGCAATGCAGGGTTCTTGTTTTGTTGTTTTCACACAGGGCATCGGGACGCACTAAAGGCACACACGTCGAATGAATTTACATAAGTGTAACATAGTGTATCAAATATATATAGTCAACATATCAATCAATATCAAACAACGTGTTTCATGTATATTTTTCCGAGCTTTGAACTTTTGTGCCACAGCAGGGGCAAATGCTGCACCAGCAGCGCCAACCTTCCTGCATATAAAGCACACTGGAGAGCAAATGAACTGGCCGGCTCAAGGTGAAGATCAAACACAACATGACGACATTCAAGCATGACGAAAGCATGCCGAGTCCACGCCAGAGCCAAACAAGCTGCACCTTGAACTTCGGGCGAAGCATCCTTGACATAAGAACTGAGTGACTCCCAGCAACCCTTTGCAACCCTTTGCCATATGCTGCAGTGGCACGTTGAGTGTTTGCCTCAGATCCTCTACGCAGTCTTCTGCCTGCGGGAAGGACAAAACAGTAGAACGAAGTCTATTTTGTGGTCATCTCAGCTTGGTCCTGTCATCACGTAGATTGGCAGCCATGACACCCCAAGGCGGCCCAAGGCATCCCAAAGGTGACGCTGGATGCATTTTGAAGAACTTAATATAAAGGCATAAAGGTATTGATTCTTGAAATTGTCTGTTGAGTAGCACTCGCAGAGTGGCATTGGCATTCGACAATAGAAACCACATCGAAGCAAACCGCCTCTAGCCCGCCCAAGGCTGAACAAGCACCAAATCTCACAGCTTCTGATGGATCTTGGAGAAGGAGTCGAATCCTGTCCTTCGATCCTGGCATAAACATTCATGCAACAAAAAGGGTAGAAGCACATGTGGTTGGTTTCCAAAATGTTTTTTTCCCAAAATGGTGCACTCGTCGCAATTCCATGGGGGCCCGCTTCTAAATCTCCTTTAAACTTCAACCACACTCAAACCACAGGGATGTTAAACATGAAGGCGTGTGAACGGCAAAAACTGTGAGAGGTCTAGCGCGGACTGCTGAGATGCTGGAGCTGTTGCTGCTGCTGCTGCTGCTGCTGCTGGCCTCCTGCAGTTGTTTCCACTTTGTGTTCTCAGAAAGCTTCAGAACGACATAATTAGGAAGGACGTAAGAGCTGACTCAAAAGATTTGGATGTTGGATGGGCAAATGGTCAAGAAATGGACCGTCGTCTAGCGCGGTGCTAGCGCGGATCTAGCGCCAGCCTAGCGCAAAAATCTCCGTCGATTTCTTTATCCTGTGTCAGATTCTTATTTTTCCTGCTTGCTTGTCTTCTTCTTGTTGTGCATTCCTCTTCTTCTTCTTCTTGGCTTTTCTTTTTTCTTGTCTTGCTTCTTCTGTTTCCTGCTCTCTGCTTGTTTCTTCTTTTTCCTGCTTGCTATCCTGTTATGAAGAAACCTAGCGCCAACCTAGCGCCAATCTAGCGCTGCCTTGCTGTATCACCATATTCTGCTGGGGGCCCGCTTCTAAACGAAAACTTAAAAACACATCTACAGCCTTAAAAGTTTACGTTTATCTATATTTTTTGAGTAGGGCTTTTTGAGCGCAGTCCATGTTCCCGGCCTATGGCTGTGCTACCGATAGATCCAATGGCCAAGCAGCCCCAATATCTGACCTGCAGGTTGCATGAGCTCAGGGTTAGATCACAAGCAATAAAAGGTCAGAAGGGCCTGTGGGTCTTGATCGTTGATCAAATTCACAAGGTCCTCATGTCATGGACGCAAGTGGAAGCATCACTGAGCAGGACTTGACAAACATATCATCGTTAATTAACGATTCACCAAATTCCTCAAAATACATAATGTATCCTCAAATGTTGTGCAACAAGACACCTGATAGAAAGGAGCAGCAGACGCCCCAGCCGCCATGATACTCTTGCAAACCTGTCAATGTTTCACAAGGTTCACTGTTTGTCTCAACGGTCATCCCAATCTTTCTTGCTCAACTTGGACTTGGCATGTGGCTGCTTCTTTGACATCTGGACTGTAGCTTCGTCTGAGCTCTGCTACAATGTGGTCCTCCAGAAACCAGGCATTCAAAGATCATGATAAGGTTTCGGTTTCTGGCATTCTGACAAGGAGCCGTCTGAGAAATGTCATCGATTCTGTGCAAAACATTGATCAAAAGGATATGTTGCTTCATCGTAGAAAAAACAACATAGAAAAACATTCTTGTAATTGTTGGATCTCAAAGCTCTGGACCAGATGATTCACCACGAAGGACTCCCCCTTGGTGGAGCTGTTTGAGTTTCTTTCGTGTTGCATGCTAGATCACCGAACTCCCAATGGTGCGAGATCATAGCAAGGTCTAGAACTGCTGCCTTTGAAGCCAGCTCAGTGATGGCCAAAGCCTCTGTGACAAGAATTACCAGAAGACTGAACATCGGTTGATGATGGTTGATTCATTAAAAATGCACCAATCACTGCCTTTTGCTCCTCGGTTTTGTTGCTCAATTCGTAGGAAAGCCCCTCCCTGACAGCACCGCTGCCAAAACAAGCCGGCAAAGGCAACAAGAAACACAACGGTCACTGGTCACTTGCCGCTTAGCCGGCTAAATCCTATCAGGAACATGTTTTGCCGGCTCAGCATGGTGTGAGCCAAACTCACATAGACACACATGAACCATGTCGAAAGGACCTTGTGATGGCTTGCTGGACACTCTGAGAGCGGTCCGTGCCAGGCTGGCGGACTGCCTGAGAATACTGCTTGGCAAGCAAGGCGAAGAATTGTGCTCTCTGGATCCCAACATATCCCAACAATCTGAATGAGGGCATGACCAGCGCCATGGCGTGGGATCAGCCACGCTTTCCCCCGCCCCCTCTTGAGTCAAAGCTGCGGCCAAAGCTGCCTAAGACTGACAATGTCTTGGGTTTGCCGCCTGTAAGTTATACGATAATAATACGTGAATTCCAAGGCATTACTGTGTAAGGTTGCCCCTTTGCCGCCCTCGGAACTTTCACCGAAGTGTTGTTTCATGTGAGGCGTTAGTCAGAATACAATAACATAGCAAACACGGCCAATCCGCACACTCACACCGGTTTCTTCTGTGGATGTACCCGCAACGCCATGTTTAGTCTGTGGAACTCTGATTGGATGACAAACATCATGACGATGACGATAACGATGACGACGATGATGATGTTGTGGTGGTGATGGTGGGTGATGTCAAAGCTGACGATGTAATGATGTGATGATGGCGAAGATAGTTGTGTCATGACGAGGAAGATGCTAACGGTTGACGTCGGTGTTGTGAAACCGATGACAATGTTGTGTGGTGTCCAAGAGAATAGAACGACATGCAATAGGAAATATTCAAAACATAGGGAATTCCCGAGGCTGGGAAGGGACCACAATGCCTACAATTGCAACTACTTTCCACCAAGTCTAGAAACGGCAAGGAATGATAAAATCCAGTGCATGTCTGCGATGAACAGCGATTCAACATTCAACGGGATTGGTAGACCTGAGGCTTCTGGAAAGAACATGTGCAAGTCCGATAAAGTTTGATCCGTCAGCGCACCTCTGAGACTTTGGTGGCACTGGGCATGATGGTTTCAGCCTTGTGATGTCGATAGATTTGGGTCATAAGGAGACCAAGTCTACAATGGCCTGATTCGTCAAAACTTGCCATGCCACAGCTTCTCTCACCTGCCAAAATCCAAGACTCATACATGAAGTGCGTCTACTCAAGCTGCGAGCACCTTTAACGTTGCAAGCTGTGCCTCCCGCATTGTTGCTGTTCGTCTAACCTGCACAAACACCTGTTGGAGAATCCGAGGCAACTCTCAGCACAGGACATGAATCCAAAAATGATCCTTCATTTAAACATCCTGTTTGGACCCTTTCTACCAACGACATCTTGATATCTCAACTTGCCGGAGTCCGTTTGAAATGGCAAGGCATGTGCAAAGTAAAATATGGACTGCCGCTGGAGAATGCTTCTCAGAACGAGCAACCAGCACCTCTCCATCTGGAAGGGACCCCAAGCCACTTAGCTCTACAGAAACCTCAACCTGGACAGGCTTCAGGCCATGAGCATCAACTAGTGTTGCGCATTAGCAGCCAAAAGGAACGGCCTGCCGCGGAAGATGCTGTGGTGCCTGGAATGCCAAAAGTCCGAACCCTCAGACCTCGGCCTTAATTTCAGTTCCCACAACTTGGGGATGAAATCTGTACCCCTCGATCGCGGTTTGCTGCAACATGGTAACATGGCTGACATGAAGGGATGCAAACAGCTTAAACGTTGATATTTTACAGCCCCTCTTCAGAACGCACATGTTGGCCAAAGACACATTTGCCGGTACTGCCAAGTAGCTGCACTGCACAATTTGATGAAACAATGACAAAAACGGCGTCGCGCTTCTTTTCACGAAGCGGGCTTGGGCCACTTTGGCCACGGATCAAATCTGTAGTCTGGCGTGTGTGCATGTGGTGAAAAGTTCTGTCACCCCACCTAAAAAGTTGCAGCCGCTCTGGTGCAATCTTTTTCAAATCTCACCTTCCATCGCGTATCTGGCCACACGTTCGCACCAGTTGCCCTCCCATTGCCGTGACATCACTGCCACGCACCAGGCTGAAAAGCCTCTTTTGTACTCATCATCCCATCCCAAGGCGTGGTCAAGCCTCAGGAATGGGTACCACTCTCCAAACTTGCAGGTCAGCCTTGCCTGCACGTATTGAGTGAACTGCTCTCTTGAGAACAAACCTGTTGCCAGCAATCTTCGAGCTCTCCTTTCTTCATCTTCGTTCAAATATCGAACGCAGTTTTCAAGTTTGCTCCAATCAAGGGCTTCGGGTGGCTCATCCCTCTCATAAGCTTCCCATAGGTAGTCATCATCTGGCAAAGTTGTGCCTTCTTCTACAGGCACATCGCGGTAGGCTGCATTGCCTCCATCAACTTCCATGTCTTCTACTCCGGCCTCCTCATCTCTCTCTGAAGCTGTAGGCCGGTACTGTCTCCTGTACCCATGAGTTGGGCTAAGCACGAAAAATTCTTCTCCACTTTCAGCATCACTACCGGAATTCAAAATCCGGTACGGTGCAATCTTTGCAGCGCCGGGTCCCAATCTGTAAGGTACTGCTCTACTGTCACATCATCTCGGCTGCGACTTCTCTCTTCTTCTTCCTCTCCTTCACCTTCTCTTGGTCTGCGCCGTCCTCTGCTTGACTGAGAAACTTCTTCTTCCTCAGCAAAGCTTCCTTCTGGACCTTCACGTTGTCTTCCAACTCTTGAGCCTCCACGTCTCCTTCTGAAAGGTTCTGGTAGTGCAGGTGGTGGCTCACGAATCCACTCACCACCTGTTGCTTCAACAGAAGCTCTCACAGCCCATTCTCTCATGTCTAGCCCTGATCTTGTCGGTCGCTGGTCCTCATCTCTGTAGAAGTCAACAAACCAGTCACCTTGTATGTAGGGCTTGACCTTTCTGAGCCATCTGGAAATCATCTTCCACTTGGTGTAGCCAACCCACATGCTAAAACCAATCGCAAGAATAGTGTAACTGACAAACACCAGGATGTAGGTCAGCCATCTAAAGACTTGAAAAGTCTGGCTCTTGTTCTCGTCAGCCGTGAAATTCTCTTCACTTTCATTTTCTTGTTGTCCATAGGCTCCGGGACTGAGAAGAAGCAAAGTCACCATCTTCACCATTGACTTTGAAATCTTTACTTTTGTCTCGCTCTTCTCCTCTACCAAGGCGGAAATCATCTCGCTCCTCACCTCTTTCATCTTCAAGGCCAAGTTCTTCTTTCTCACCTCCTCATGGAAAGTCTCTTCACCCACATGGCAAAAGAACTGCTCGGCGCCTTCCACGTTCATCTCCATCACCCCTATCAAGTACATCAAGAACTCTCTTCTCTGGCGTGACAAACGCTTGGTGCCCAAATCAGCCATGTTCCACAGGGTAGGAATACCTTCCATTCTGAGGGTTTTCTTCTTGACCTCTAGTTGCATCCACAAGTATCTTGCGTCGATGTGTTTGAGGCGACCGGCACCGAGCCTTTCTGTGAAAGCTCTGCATGATGAGCTGTCAGTGATTGTCCTAATCATCACCTCTCTTGCTGTTAGGAATTGCCACAGCTCCTTCAACTGCAATGCTTCGGCAGCCCCACCTGCAGATGCAAGAAACTCAGCCTCACATGAAGATAGAGCTATGCTCTTCTGTGACCTCGACCAGGCTGCAATCAAACATCCATTCAGGAAGATCATCACGCTGCTCACACTGTGCCTTCTCCGTTTCTGTGAAGACCTATCTCCTGCCCAGTCACTGTCACTCCAACTCTCTAACTCATCAACGTCGTCCAAACTGTCTCGCTCGGCTTTCTTGCTCTTGTACTTCGTGTAGGGAAGCAAAATCCCGTACTGTTCTGTCCTCTTGAGGTAGAGAATGAGGTGTTTCAATTCATTCTCTGCTTTCTTTGTGGGATTAGCCATGAACTGGCTCAAATTTTGGACACAGTGCTGAATGTCGATCCTGTCCTGAGAGATGTACAAAAGCGTTCCAAGAGCTGAACGGAATCGATGTTGATCCCCACCTGTCAGCACATCTTCAGGCGAGCCCTCCAGGTCCATCTGGGTGCTTTCTGGCGTCGACTTGCCTGCCCTCTGAGACAGGTTGTACAGCTCAATGAGGCCTGGCGCATACTTCTCATGTGGTGCAATAACGATGCCTTCAGAGGTGAAGTAGTGGCGTTTCTTTAGGCAGCGAACAGGTTCTCTGACTTCCTGATCAAGCTGTGGGAGTGTGCCTGATTCACTGATCACGAACCTGCTTCTCATCTTGTCCAAGAACCATGTCAAATCATCTGCCAATCCTGCCACTATCAGGTCATCTACATGGCATACCATGCCCAAGCTCTTTTCTCTGTGCCGGAAAAGCGAAGGTAGGGATAGATGATTTTCCATCCCCAACTCTTCGAGAGCAACCTTCAGGTAGTCAAACCATCGTGACGCTGCATCACGTTGGCCTGGCAAACATCGAGCTAACCTCCAATACCTCTTTGCTCCATTTGACGCACCTTCAAGCTCCTCAGGCTTCCACCAGGCAGGCTGTTCCACCAACACCAGCTTGGTTTGAGGAACCAACAAAAAGGCATCTTTGACATCGATGAAGCTCAACTTCCATTGCAAAATTGCATGAGTCGCCAACAGAAGCCTTGTAGCCGCCAAACTCGAGGTTGGAGCAAAAGTCTCTGAGGTTGTCTGATCATGGCCTCGGAATTCTCGGGCCACAAACCGGCACCTCCTTTTCCATTTTCCATTTCGCACTCGCCAGTCAAAGACAGACCTTGTCGTGAGGATGCTTCCATTCTCCAAATCTGAGGTACTAGGCTCCTTCAGCACCTCCATGTCTAGCAGCCTTTGTATCTCCTCTTGTCCTGCAGCTGCCTCAATCTTCTCAAGCTCCATTGGCCCCACCTCCGGTGGAGTCCCTTCATCAATCACCTCATCTGAGAAAAGTCCTTCTTCCAACAAGAGCATCTCTTCATCACCTTCAAAGTCTGCGATCTCTTGCTCCCATTGGAACTCATCCACAGGTCGATCCTCTACCTGTTGGATTCCACCCGCAAAATGCGGTGCATACAAAGACGTAGGACTTTCTGCTGGACTTGTTCTGGGTGCTTTCGTTCTGCTTTCTCCTACCGCGCTGTCACCCAACATCTGTTCATGCTCACCTGTAGGACGAGGGCGTTCCGGAGTCGTTGGTGCACGTTCGCCCACACTCTTACTTTCTTCATCCAAGCCCAAAGGTAGTGGAGGTACGCGGACATACTTCTCTGCTGGTTGTTCCTCAAGTTCTCCTTCAGCAGAATGCTTGCGTCCACGTTCATGACTTGTGCCTTCTTGCTGCGGTGTTCCTCCTGGGTGTTCAGGAGCATACATGCTCACCAGTGGTGTTTGAACTGATGCTACAATGAAGTCGTCCTCAATGATGACTGAGCCGTCAGCTGACTCGCACTCAATCTGCGCAAGCTTCCTGCCATATGTTGCTAGTTGGGAACCTTGGGCATCTTCAAGCACTGCTTTTCCTAACCTTTGAGCTGTTCCTCGATCAGCCATGGTCTTGGGCAACAGGCTGATGTCTGCTCCTGAGTCCAAGACGGTCAACATCTTCTCTTCATTGGTCGTGACCGTGTTCACATAGAGAACTGTGGGCTTCTCAGAATCCATCTCCTCCATCACATAACGTCGCACTGGCAGGTCAAAGAACCACTGCATGGTCTTGTCACCTGGACAAATCATTGATTGCTCCTCCTCTGAATCATCTGCTATCGAAAATGACACAACATTGACCTTGTAGTTGTCATCGTAAATCCAGCTGTCACCTCCTTCACTCTGCAAATCGTACAGAACTGGATTTGAGGTCTCTTCTCGAGGAGTCGCTACATGATAAAGTCGAACCTGCCTCACCTGCTTGCTTGCTATGGTTGAAGCTGTCGAAGAACTGCCACCTCCACGAAGTTTGCCACCTGTTGAGCTTGCAATCTCACTCTCTGAAGCACCTGTTGTACTTCCTGGGGGCATAGACTGTGTCACAGCATTTGCCCGGTTTGGGCATTCGTTTCCCCAGTGACCCTGTTGTCCACAAATGCGGCAAGTGTTAGAGTTGCTGCCGCCCTTGCCTTTGCCAGCACAGGAGAACTTTCCTTTGCCTTTCTTCCCTTTCTTTCCTCCTTTACCTTTCTTGCCACCTTTGCCCTTTTGGTATTTGCCGCCTGTCTTTCCACCACCATAAGGAAAAGGAATCCAGCCGCCTTTCTTACTCTTTCCTTTCTTGCCTCCACCTTTGTACTTGCCCTTGCCAACTTGGTTCACGCTGTCAACCTCCATGAGTGTTGGTCCGCTGTTGGAGTCGAGGGTGTTCTGGACAAGCTTGAGGTAAGTGTCTCCTGACCAAACTCTGGAGTTCTTGTCCATCAAAATCAACTTCTCTTTCAAAGTGCTGTAATCAACTGAATCGTCCAAAGTCCGTTCAAGGTGCCGACGAACAGCCGGCTCAACACACCTCAACACCGCTGAGACCACCAAGTCATCAGGCATAGCATGCCCTGAAGCCACTCTGTATTGGTCCAAGAGCAAATCCAGCTGGAGCAAATTTTCCAT